GGTGATAGTGAAGGGGTTCCTGGGAGGGAGAGGGTATATTGGGATGGGGGTGATAGTGAGGGGGGTTCTTGGGAGGGAGGGGGGTGATAGTGAGGGTGGTTACTGGGAGGGAGGGGGTATGTTGGAGGGGCGTGATAGGGGGTTACTGGGAGGGAGGGGGTATGTTGGAGGGGCGTGATAGGGGGTTACTGGGAGGGAGAGGGGACTAAATACCTTAATTCCCTGGTGGTCCAGTGGCCTTCATTTCCTGGTGGTCCGGTGGTGATGTCTGGTCTGCAGCTCCACGAGTGTGCAGAGCTGCAGACCAAGTGTCTTGCGAGACCGGGTCAGAGCGTTGCCGTGGTAACCCGTGGTAATTGGCCAGATCTCGTGAGACACTTGGTCTGCAGCTCTGCACACTGTGCGGATCTGCAGACCAGCGGCTACAAGCGGTCTCCGGCCAGGCAGCCTGGAGGGGCCATGCACCCATTGGCATATTGGGCAAGCCACCGGACCCTCTCCTGGTGTCAGGTCCTTGGTCACTGACTGAGGACCTGACACAGTCTGCCATAAGGTGGTTTAGGCGTCCGCGAGGCCCCAGTCAGTGCGTGTCCATAGACGGCCAACTAAACCGCCTTATTAGAGAGCCTCCCCTGCTGGTGCTTTGGTCTGCTGGATAGGTTGTTTGCCTCGTGGTTCTGGTTTCTCTCTATGCATGCAATGTGCTTCATTCCCTCCTTACATCATCATGCTCATCATCATGTGAATTTGTATTAACATGAAGTTTGAGGAAGGGGAAAGCATTAGTGAGCAGAGTACTAGAATTTAGCTTATACAAGGCTTTCCTATGAGGTTTTGGGTGACACTGGACATCCCTATGCAAAGCGTGAGGACGTCCAGCATCAGTTAGGAGACCAAAAGTTGCCTAGGAGCCCGGAAATCCCTCTGGAATCTCCAAAATAAATCCCTCTGGAATCTCCCAAAAAAATTCAGAATATCTTTGGCATAAGCAACAAGTGAATTAAGAAATATTCCAATCGGGGGCGTGGCCAAGGACGCATGGAAGCGGTCGCATAAACCGAGAGCTCCGCCGTCTCGAGGGCCCAGCAGCGAGGCAAACAGCATTACCCCCACACAAAACTGGCCAGACTTGCCGACACGCACGCAGTGAAAACCATGTCGACCAAATCCCACAAAAAAATTAAACAGAAAACGATGGATTCCTTACTCCACGCACAGCACATGGCATGCCCGCGAGTCCAAGATGGCGAAGGGGAACCGAGATCACCCCCGCGCGAACCCGACGCTGATGACAGCCGGAGTAGTTCCTACAGTGCAACAATGCACCCAGCCTCCGATGCCTCAGTAAGCAGCATGCTGCAAAACTTAAAAGCAGACCTGCGCTCAGACTTCCTAAAAATGGCGTCGGACATTAGGGCTGACATCCAGGCCCTAGGGGACAGAACGGCTCACCTGGAGGAGAAGATGGAAGGCCTAATAGACGCACATAACGACTTATCTGATGCACATACAGCTCTAGCAGACAAAGTCAGGTTTCTGGAAGGGAAGATAGCTGATAATGAAGATCGAGACCGGAGAAACAATATCAGACTCCGAGGCATACCTGAAAGCATAGGGCCACAAGACCTCGCTCAATATGCTCAAAAGCTGTTCAAAACCTTGATCCCAGCCCTAGAAGAACCGGATCTTCATCTGGACAGGATACACAGACTGCCTAAACCTCGCCACCTACCTGCTACCACCCCTAGAGACGTGATAACAAAAATACATTACTTCACGGTCAAAGACCGGATAATGCAGGCGTCCAGGCTAGAACAAACCCTTCCAGGTGACTATGCAGATGTTAAGCTTTTCATTGATCTGTCGGCGGCCACCATGTACAAGAGGCGAACGCTTGCACCCATTACAACGGCCTTGCGCAAAGCCAATATCTTATACAAATGGGGATTTCCAGCTAAATTATTAGTGAACAAAAACGGAGCGAACCGAATAATCCTCACCCCAGAAGATGGTCTGAAGGTCCTAGAAGAATGGAACATACCGATCCCAATAACTGACAAACGAAGAGAAGGCACCCCACCGCCACGTAAAATGGCGAGAGACTGGCAACAGGTTCCATGGAACACCACAGATCCGCAGACCCGCCGATTACCCCGTACCTAAGACTTTCCTCTGACAACAGCGGGACACGTAATATCTTCACCCACAATGGCTTTATTGTATTTCTGTGTAATATATGTTTACTATTGCATTGTTCTACTCCAATTAGACACAGTTATGAGAACACAACGATAGGCCCCCGAGCGGTAGAGAAGTACCACTAGAATTACAACTCTACTCATATACGCTTTAGTATTCACCACCACCCCCCACACGGCTTACAAGCTAGGCCAACATATACCCGTGTGCAATTTTGTGCACATAGCCCCAAGGGCCAACGGGAACCTGTATATAGTTTGTTTGACCCCACTCCTCCCCCCTCTTTGCCGACCCATTCGAATCTATACCTGGCAGCCAAGGTAATAGGCGACCAGAGTAAGAGATCCCTCCCACTGATTGACTCAACACCCCATCTACTCCCCAAACCGCAAGGTAGGCATAATGCCGTTAAAAATCCTCTCCCTCAATACCAAAGGGCTGAACTCACCCAACAAGCGCAGGCTAGCTTTACTAGAAGCTAAGAGGCAGAACGCACAAGTGGCTTTCTTCCAGGAAACCCACTTCAAATGGAGAGCTAAACCCAGATTCAACTCCCCCTGGTTTCCGATAGATTATCATACATGCTATCATACCAAAAAAAGAGGAGTGTCGACGCTAATAAGCAAAAATGTTTCCTTTGAATTAATACGTAAAATTGGAGATAAAAAAGGCAGGTACCTTATCATACAATGTCACATTAACAATCAACCGTATACGTTAGTGAACATTTACAGCCCAAATGAAAACCAGGTTATGTTTATTGATGATGTTTTCTCTCTCTTATCAATGTATAGTTTTGGGGAGGTAATCATTGGAGGCGACACCAATTTTCTCTTAGATGCACATATGGACTCATCCGCTTCTAGAACGGTAAATACAACTACATCCAAAAAACGACTCACACTGTCATCCACCATCTGCCAAACACTAATGACACATAATTATGTCGACCCATGGAGAATTTCGCACCCGACGGACATAGACTATACCTGCTACACTGCAGCACACAATAGCTATTCAAGAATTGACAGATTCCTAATCAAATACTCGTCCCTAGAGAGAGTATCCCACACGGACATTGGCAATATCACATGGTCTGACCATGCCCCAATCACACTGACATTATCAGAACAATTCCCCTCCGCTGGCCGTACAACCTGAAGACTGAACGAGACCCTTCTCAATGACCCGGTAATAGTCTCCCACATCACCACAGACCTCCAACACTACTTTGCAGACAATGTACAAAACAACACAACACCGGAATCAATTTGGTTAGCACATAAAGCTGTAATAAGAGGCAGCTTCATAAAACACGCGAGCTACGCTAAAAAAACTCGCCAAGCACAATACTTACAAATCATTGCAGACATAACGTCATTGACACACAGGAATAAACATACACCGTCACCTAGCATACAAACTGCCCTGCACCAAGCGCACTCCAAACTACGGGATTTTGAACTAGCCAAAACCACATACCTACTGCAAAAATCCAAACACAAATTCTTTGCATTCGGCAACAGAGCAGGAGCAAAATTGGCTTCTCAACTCAAACAACGATCTGCCGCCTCCAGGATTGCCTTCCTGAACAATAGTAGGGGTCAGAAAATCATAGACCCACAAAAAAATTGTAAATGAATTCTCAGATTATTACCACAACCTGTACAATCTAAAAGGAGATGGGGGGGTGAAGGTCCCTACACACGAAGATATCGATAGATACCTAACGGATGTCCAACTGCCTTCCCTATCAGTGACTGACATTGACACACTCCGCCGCCCAATATCCCCTGACGAAATAAATAAGGCTATAGCTGACCTCCCCCCACACAAAACACCGGGACCCGATGGCCTACCTAATAAATATTACAAAAAGTTCTCCGGACTACTGACCCCACACCTAACGAACCTCTTTCAACATTGCGCAGGACAGGGAACATTGCCAGCAGAAATGCTACTAGCCCACATTACTACCCTACCCAAACCTGGTAAACCCCCTACTGTATGTAAAAACTTCCGGCCCATATCCCTCCTCAACAGTGACGCCAAGCTGTACGCGAAAATACTAAGCAACCGACTTACTCCTGTATTAAACAGTTTGGTGCACAATGACCAAACTGGGTTTGTGAGGGGACGCCAAGGCTCAGACAACACCCGAAAAATCCTTAGCATACTGGCCACAATGGAACGCAACTCGGTGGGAGGCCTTCTCCTTGCATTGGATGCAGAGAAGGCCTTTGACCGACTAAATTGGTCCTTCATGCAGGCGGTGCTCCTGAAATACGGCCTCCCTCATGAGACTATCAGAAGTCTCATGGCATTATACGCAACACCAGCAGCCAGAGTTTCACATGGAGGCTACATCTCCACCACATTCCCGATATCAAATGGGACCCGACAGGGCTGCCCTCTATCCCCCTTACTCTACATTTTATCCCTAGAACCCCTGGCCCAAAAAATACGCTCCCATCCTAACATAGAAGGCATAAAGATCCGAACGCACGAATACAAATTGGCCCTCTTCGCCGATGATATTCTAGTGACGCTAGGGAATCCCCAAACATCAGTACCAAACCTTATGGAGGCCCTAACAGAGTAGGGTGACATATCGCATTACCGCCTAAACCAAGACAAGACCCAAGCTCTACCTATTAGACTCCCCCCGACCACTACAACCTCTCTAAAAAACAAATTCCAATTTGATTGGAGAACATCCTCCCTGACATACTTGGGGGTAAAAATAGCGCCCTCACTAACAGAAATCACAAAACTTAATTACAACACCCTCCCCAAACAATGCACAAAAGAAGTCCAAAAATGGACACAGACAAAAATCTCATGGCTGGGAAAAGTTAACGCATATAAAATGGTGATTTTACCAAAAATATTGTATATTTTCCGAATGCTTCCTATCCAGATCCCGCAAACACTCCTCAAACACCTCCAAACCATATGCAACAAATATATTTGGGGAAATAAGAGGCCACGCATACCGCACACCATACTACAGAGACACGTATCACAAGGAGGTGTGGGACTGCCCAACATGAGCCTCTATTATAAAGCCTCCGCCTTGACAGCGGGTATACTCCTACATACCCCAGTAGGGAATACCCAATGGGTTGACCTAGAAAGAGCCCAGTTCCAAGATAACACCGCACTAGACTACATGTGGACCCCAAAAAAACTCAGGCCACCTAAAGCCGACCTGCTCCCTACGACAAAATTTACCCTCCGAGTATGGACAACTTTCCTGGAGACCCTAGGAGCCAAACATACCTTCCACCCTAAAGCACCTTTAACAGCCTTGAAGGCAATCTCACCAGACATCCACTTACAAAAATGGTTGAAAGCGGGAATTACCCATATATACCACATACTTCAGCCACAGGGACTGATGACATTCCCCGAAATACAACAGACATGGGGCCTACCTAACAACACCATATTCTCGTATCTCCAACTCAAAGGTATGATCACCACCCATGTGCACAACCAACACCCCAACCCAAATCAAACATCTCTCCCAACAGAAGCAATAATAGAACGGTGCAGGACAGCACCAACGAAATCAAAAGCTATCTCCCTCTGCTATAAAGCGTGGGAAGATACCCTACCCCCTACCACACCTAAATACAAAACTTTATGGGAAGCAGACTGCTCTATCCAACTCACAGAGAGGGAATGGATACACGCACTCAATGACTTATCCAAATGGACACGCTGCTACACGCACATCGAAGCCCATAGGAAACTATTATATAGATGGTACCTAACCCCAAGTAGGCTCCACAAAATCTACCCAAATACATCTTCAGTATGCTGGAGATGCAGGGCTGCTGAGGGTACACTCATACATATATGGTGGAACTGCCCTAACATACAACCCCTCTGGACAGAGGTACATCGCACACTTCGTACCCTTCACGTGCCCAACACCCCAAAAACCCCAGAGGTGTACCTACTCCTGCGGTTTCCGCCACTATTTGGCAAATCACAAAAACAAATATGCGCACTCACCACTCTAGCCGCCCGTAACTTATTGGCTTTAAACTGGAAATCCACACTGTGCCCAACAAAAGCCCAACTAAGAGATAAAATACAACAATTTTACCTTTTTGAACGCATGGCCATAACGGACGACAACACAGCGCGCACATTCCAAGAGACATGGGCCCCATGGGTCACATTGACCACACTCAAAAAGGGTTAACCAAGAGACATGACCAACATAGCCAGAGTCGACCCACAAAGGACATAAAACTACGCCAACAGGCGTGATTGAACAATTCCAATTCCAATACCAAAACTACACATATCGATAGGTAATCCCAGAAACCCGCTAGTGGAGCACCGAGAGGATGCACGCCACAACACGTTGAGCCCCCCTTCACTAACCAACACACCCCAATTGATAGGGGTAGATAGACAGGGGGAGAAGTCCGATAACGGACGCTAGTTATTAGTTCTTGTTGTTGTTTACACGTTGTTCCGATGATTGATATACGAATACAGTGCGGCAAAGTTGGCATGACGAGCTTTCATGTAACAAATACTATGTCCCCAAAACGACTATACTGTACAATACCAGAAGCTAACGTTGTGCTAGGGCAAACTCATTTGTAGCCCGCAACTAAGTTGCTATGATACTACCTTGCTGTACCATTATGAATCACTTATGTATGTTTTATTATACCCTTTATGTTGAGATATACTTCTATTGTCAATGAAGCGTCACCATTGACCACTGAAAATCAATAAAAATTATATTGAAAAAAAAAAAAAAGGAGGTAGAAGCCACTTGTGACTATGCAGCCATGAGCTTAGGACCATTTTAGGCAAAAAAAAAAATATATATAAAAACATATTAATATATAAAAAATATCAAAATATTAAAATATTGTTTACAATATTAAATCATTTTAAAAATGTATGCAAACGAGGGGCGGAGCCTGGCATCCAGACAGAGCAGTTGTGCTGAACCTCAGCTCCCGCTCTAATCTACACTCTCTGGGGGTAAACCCCAGCAAAAACGGCACAATCGCCCACTGGAAGGAAGCCATCATGACGGGGACACCCAGGGGACTCACCCAACACCAAAAACAAGCCTTGGAGATGGCCGCTCCCCAGGCTGACTGACCTGGACACTGGACCCTCGAGGCTGACATCACCTATCCCCCCCGCCCTGGACCGACGGGGGTCATCTCGGTCCACACCAAGCGACATGAGGCGCAGTCGCGGGCTGGAACCACAACTCGACACACCACAGCACACGGGCAGCCGAGCCCATGGTGCACCCAAAATGGTGGCGGCAACAGCATCAAGTGAACCAAACAGTGTATCTGCAAGGGAGGCTCACAGCGACATTATGCAGAGTGTGGAAGCTGCATTTGCCTGATTCTGGCACGACCTGAACGAAAGGCTGCATGCACACCCGGCGGCCCAGCCCACCACACCGAAAACAAGTAAGCCGAGCCGTCCTCACGTGAACATGGGAAAAGCACCACCATACTGACGGGTGGAACACAAGTATCGAGTCATGAACAGTGGGAAGAGACGCTCCACTCCAGGCAAGGCTGCAGCCCCCAAGATACCTGCCCAACAGCTACCGCAGAGGCTGGGGATCCGCCGCTGGCAGCGACGTCGCAGCAAGAGTTCCGGTTGTCACGTACCTCACAGAGACCTAGCCTCGTGACAGAGGGCCCGAGCATGCAGCCTCACGATGTTGGTCATCGCTGCGACCCAGAACTGGGAGACCTGCGTACCCGACCCATACCTTGCACTACTCATGGACAGCCTGCGCTTCCTCCCAAGCCGGGGAATAGGTTGAAGCTGGACTCTGGCCACGCCAACCTTACATTATAACACTCAGTCTAGCCATCTATTCCCCTGCTGACTTAATGTACTTAACCATCAGTATACTCAGACAAATGCTATGCTTAACTATGTTTATAAATTAGATCAACATGTATTGAATCATATTTTCTAGTACACAGTAACTAATCTAAGGCAACAGTAAAATTTAAGTTATATTTAACCTGCCATCCTATGTATACTTATGCAGTGTAGTTTAATCAAATATTACTCTATATAAAAATTGTGCAGAATATCCCACTTGCCAACCAACTGTTAACTATCTGTTTGTATGCTTGTCAAAACTGTTGGGGCATGACGAGCCCACTTGTTATATTTTCATGCACGCCAAAAATAAAGAATTAAAAAAAAAAAGAAATATTCCAATCTCCCTTCAATAGGTATGAAACAGAAAGGAGAATAAATTTCCAGTAGCAGTAGGTTAGTAGTTTCAAAAGCCTGGATTTTATAGCCAGATAATGTGGTAGATAAAGCAGTCTCTGTAATAAGAGACTATAGCAAGAAGTAGCAACAATTTTATAGTAGCAGCCACAGTAGCAAATTGCAGCAATAGACAGCCATGGATAAGCAGGCCAGAGAATTCAAGCAAAGGAGGATCCTTCAACTTTGCAAGTCGTTTAACAATCCAGGTCTTGTAGACAAACGAAATCAGCAACGCCTGTAGGCAAAAATCGGATCGAGGCTTGGAGAGATCAGGAAGGTTGGTAATCAATCTCGGGTCATGGATTGGAGAGATCTGCAAGGTCTGCAAGGTCAGTTAGGTGGTCCAGATCGGTAAACAAAAGATTCAATAAGGTATAAGCTTAGAAGGAGAAACAAGCAAAATTGACTAAGCATTTAGCTTTTTGCGCAGCTTCCCTATAAGGCAGGGAAAGCTTGCGTCATATAGGTGGGAGGAATTCCAAACAATAAAACTAGGAAGTAGCACCCAGCGATCAAGGTTCATTAAGTATAAAGAAATCTGGTGTGCCTATTGCAACAAACATGGATGAGGGAGTTGGACTCTTGGTATGTCGCTCAAACTGGATAAAAATAGGGAATCACCAAAAACCTATCCAAAGATATCATAGAGGGTAACACCCTGAATGTGGTGTATGTGTTCCAGGAGCTAACTAACCCAAATGTATTAAGTGTTAGAGCAGTAATTATTTCAATAAAACCAGAATATAGAGGTGATAAAAAGTGATGATCAATAATAAAATCACTATGATGAAACAATATAAAACTGGGTTAAAGTGCAGCCAGTGTATATGGTGTGTATATCTTTAAATCTGCTATAGGCAGAATAAATGTAATAAACACCAAGTTATATACTTTTAGGTAAAAGATATAAACCTTTCAAAGCAGAAAAGACAGTATAGAGAAAAAAATGATTTCTGCAGTGCAATACGAACTGGGTATCACTAAAAACCACTTGAACAATGATAAAAACTGGATGTAGATAAAAACAGTTTATTAACAACATAAAAAATATAAAAATATATATATTAAAAATACAAGTCAGGAATGTTGTACAAGACTATTACCAGCACAGTGGATGTCAGTAGTGGGAGTTAGCCTCAAGGACCGGCTCAGATGGATGCAGATGATGTATAGCACTTTCTTCCTTCCAGCTGCCGGTAGGGACAGCGTGTGTTTCAGACCTCGCTCTGAGAGATGAATACTGCGCGCCACCCGGTCCAGGAATGTGAGAGATTCTCGGTAGAAGTGTTTCTCTACTGGCTGGAACATAGACTGTGTCCGTATCCTGTTTGATCAGTCTGACTCTGTTGTGGAAATGAGATCTTAACATAATTTTTAGTTAGTAAAATGTCTATTTACTCATTTAACTATAATCAGCATTATTCAACTTTTATGTGATTAACTCAGATGGCCGCTAGGGAGTTTCCCCTCTAACATCGACTAACTACCTTGTGTAACAAGATGGCGCTGGAATCTGGGGGAGACCCTCATGATACCAGTGACATCACCCTCCGTAGGCAGAGCATTAAAAGAGCCATAGTTGTCCTGCCCATTGAGGGACATCCCACTACCTTTTTAGTTGACACAGGTGCAGCCCGTAGTGTTCTTAGAGAACAAGACCTGCCAGATCCATCCTACTTGTCAGACAACGATGTATCTTGTGCAGGTGTTGATGGTACTCCCCGCAGCAATCCACTAACTAAGCTCCTACGTGTGGGTTCAGATATCCTTTCACGGTTTGTTGTTTCCTCCACCTGTCCCATTAACCTTTTGGGTGCTGATGTTTTGTCCCGCCTTCAGGCCTCAATTACTTTCACTGCAGATGGTCAGGTCCAGTTACTCACACCCCTATCACATAAAGACATCTCTGTCCTCTGTTCCCTACCCTTACTACTACATCTTACGTCTCCCACAGGGGAAACAAGGGTCACAGATGCCCCCAGTGCTCTGGACAGAATCCCTACTAAACTCTGGTCCACGGCCCCAGATGACATAGGCCGGCTACGTGTTCCACCAGTTGTGGTTACCCTTCTGCTAGGTGCTACCCCACCACTGCGACCTCAGTACCCATTGAAACCCGCACAGGCTCTCGCCATCTCTAAGCAAGTTGACAGCCTCCTAGCAAAAGGAGCTCTTATCAAATGTGTGTCGCAATGTAATACTCCCTTGTTTCCTGTCAAGAAGAAAACCGAAAAAGGCCAACAAGACCAATACCGCATGGTCCAAGATCTGCGTGCCATTAATGATGTCACTGTCAGAGACACCGCTGTTGTCCCCAATCCACACACCTTGTTGTCACGGTGGTCCATCTTGCCAATGCCTTTTTCAGTGTACCTCTGGATTTGTCCTGTCAACATCTCTTTGCTTTTACTCATGACTGCCAACAGTACACATGGACTGTCATGCCACAGGGGGCACTTAACTCTCCTACTCAGTTCGCAAAAGCCATGTCTACTGTTTTGGAACCCTGGCAAAAAGCTCACACTGACGTGGTCTTGCTCCAGTATGTTGATGACCTACTCCTCTGTGCTGCTGACCTTTCAACTGCTGAGCGTGATTCCGAAGATCTTCTATGCTTTCTAGCTGAAGAAGGTTGTAAAGTCTCTAAATCCAAACTACAGTGGTGCCGGCCCTCTGTGGTCTTCTTGGGACATTGCCTCTCCCATGGCACCTGCCATTTTACCAGAAACAGAATTCATGCTATTTTGAATTTGCCACCTCCATCTACCCATCAGACTCTACATGCCTTTCTAGGCCTCATTACCTATTGCAGATCGTGGATTCCTGAAGCTTCCCAGCTCATGCAACCACTTTATGATGCTTTGAAGAGCGAACCGTTCTCGCTATCACCTCAAGCACTAGCTTGCTTCTCAGCCCTGCAAAAGGCAATTTCCTCCACACCCGCTCTGGGCCTACCCAACTATCAATTGCCCTTCAAACTGTTTGTTTCAGAAAAGATGGGCCATGCATCAGGGGTCCTCACACAATCTCATGGCTCACGACAGAGACCAATTGGCTATTTCTCCTGCATGCTTGACCCCGTAGCCAGGGGTAGTCCTTCCTGCCTGCGGGCGGTGTTTGCTGCTAGTGCCTTATTGGATAAGACCAATGACTTCGTCCTTGGGCACTCTCTAACTGTCTTCACTCCACAGGACATTTCCGCCATCTTACAACAAGTCCAACCAAAGCACCTTTCCTCACAACGCCATCTTCGTTTACAGACTTCTCTACTGTTGCCCGACAATGTGACTCTTCCAAGATGTTATACCTTGAATCCGGCCACTCTTCTGCCACTTCCCAAGGGGGAAGTAGCCCACTACTGGTACAGCTTGGACATCAATCCTGATGATCGGATGGAATTTCAATTACCTACTCCCACAGCTCCACATGATGTGCAACCGGAGAACCTGCTGGTTTAAAGACACCCCAGGCCCTGACTCATACTATGAAGAAGAGTTGTTCCACTTGGTAGACATTCGCATCACACTAACATATTTATTATGTGATTCCAAAGGCAACATGGTCTCATTGGTTTACCTTCCAATGGAAGTATCACACCTCTATCACCACTGGGAAGTGGCTGTTCCACATGTTTCATTCACCAAGTCTCCTGACCTTTCGTGGGGAGATCTGGGCCCAATGGCCAAGTCCTGGAGCACTGCAACCCAAGAATAACTTGCACTGGCGGGATTTACTAAAAAGGTCATTAACTGCAATACAGTTAGTTATCCTCGGTACCATACAGAGATATGCGAGGATCTCCCTCCCATAGGCCAAGATCCAGAAGCCCCTCATGATTGTTTTGAACAGATGAAGATGGAAACCACCCACTTACCAACTGTGCATGACATTGCCCTGCCTAATCCAGACAGTACATTGTTTGTGGATGGCTCCAGATTTGCTGATGAATAAGGGCAATACCACACAGGATATGCAGTCACTACAGAAAGTCAAGTACTGCAGGCTGCCGCACTCCCACCGTCAAAATCAGCTCAAGAGGCCGAACTAACAGCCCTTACCATGGCCTGTAAGTTGTCTGAAGGTACACGCGTCAACATTTAT